TTCTTTCTTTTTTTTTTTTTTTTTTTTTGGCAGGAATGACAATTGAACTGTGACAGGCATTTTGATTTTATCGTTTTTATTTCACCACTTTCGTCCAAAATGGACTTTGCCGTGACTTTTTTAAAAGAATGTTTTGATTTCATTTTTGTGCGTCCTCACACACTAATACACCGTATGTCATATTCCAATGTGAATCTATGATTATATATAGTGCTCTACTGCTGTTGTGAGAATGTGAAAAAATGTGGATAACACTGTCTCCTCCTGTTATGACTAGCAATTCATGTACAAACCTAAGTGTAGCAAAGCGAACACACTGTGACTGTGTGACAAAGTGGCATTGCAGTTCTTTGTTCCTGTGGAAGAAATGAAGAAGTGCAGATTATTTACTCCAGTAAAAATCAGCCTGCTAATTTATCTTTCTTCAGGCTGCATTGGTTAAAAACTCACTCCATTAATGTGGTTTTGGGTTCGAATGCTTTTAAATGTTCACAGGGAGTGTGTGTGTGCGCATGTATGTTTTATTTAATTGTTTTGGGGTTTTTAAAATCCGTATTGTGATTGCTGAATGCATTGCGGGATGATTGCTTAGTCCTGTTGTCCGACGGCATACTGAGAAAATAAGAACGTTTTTTGTCATAAGGAAAGTCACTACCACTTGTATGCTTTTTTTAAAAATCAACTTATTTTAATGGGAACGTTTAGTATGTTCTATTCCCATTATTCTGGGATGTTGGCATGTTAAACTGCACTGTTGATATTTGTTTGCAGTCAGTGTCCTTTTAAGGATGTAATAGACACACACATGTAGAGTATTGAAGTAAAATAATGCATCTCTCTATTTGCCTGCATTACAACATTTATATTGCTCTGCTTTGCCTTGCATTGAAGAGTTGTCATTCAGTTTAATTTATAAATACTACTGAACATTTCTTCCTCATTCTTACGTTTAGGGTTTGCCAAGACTAACCACCAAATGCTGGGCACGGCGACACTGCATCATATGCCAACTTCACTACTCCCTCCATCCTTTATTGACTTCACGCACCAATGTCTTGATAAAAGTCAGAAATCTGCAGATGTGAATGATTAAATGGAATCTGGGAAATATATATAACAGTAGATGCAAAATGTGACTATATTAGCATTAGCTTTGGCATTAATGCCAAATGCTTGTTGAAGGGCTGGAGGAGAACAAGGGTCCTGTATTATGTGTAACATTTAATCGATTGCAGGCTCTATTACAGTTCATTTCTGATTGACCTGTGCATTTTATACTGTCAAGGTCATATCTTATGAATCTGCTCTGTGTAGCTGGAATATGTTTGATGACAGCAGCATGATTCAGTCGAATTGAGTGATGTTAAGAATGGCTAAAATAATTGAGAGTTATGACTGAATTTTGTTATATCATGGTGCTCTACATCATACACTGGGAATTCTGTCCTTAGAAATGTATAGGCTAATTGTTCCACTATTTATATTGTGCTTGCTTTTTTCCTTACAACTTGGATTTTGCAGATGTTTGTAAAACATGTAACTTTTGCAGAAGACTTAAAGGCACAATATGTAATTTTCGCCGCTAGAGGGCGCGTATTCAAAATAAACAGAAACAAAGGCGTAGTTTGATGACGCAGTGACTGAGTGTGGAATCATGGGAGTTGTCGTCTTCATCCCCACAGCCGATGCAATCCGACGGGACTCGGGCAAAAATCATGTTCATGGATGAGCTAATGATTTATTAACGTAGTAGAATGAAGCAGG